GAGGCATAAGAACCTGAATTTTATAGGAAATGTACAAAAAACTAAGGGCTATCTCGCGATGAGATCAAAAAGTTTCTAGCAGCTTTCCTCAACAAGCAATAACCTTAATAAAAGAAATTTGCAAGGTTGGTGAATACTTTTGACGGCCACTGTATATAGATGCAAATGAGACAGTCATTCATTTAAAGGTCAATCAACTTCTGTTAAAACTGTCGCACTTTTTTCACAATAAATTGACAAAAACATGCTACCTAGATCTTTCATCTATTAATGTCTTATATTTTAGTTCTATTAACTTTATTATCGTATTTTATACTTGCTTGTTTTAGTCTAATGCCTTCGGTTATCATTCGTAATCTTGCAAAAAATTATGGTGAACGTTTAAATATTCCACTCGCATTTGACGATCTACTTAAATTAACCAATATTCTCAAACAAGACGATAAAGATGAAAGTATTCGTGCTCAGTTAACTTTTTTGATGCATTTAATCAAGGCCGATTTAGACGTTCAGTATGTCATGGATTTAATTGAAAAAGTGCCACATTTAGTAGTGTGTACTACATTTACACAACAAATGATAGATTGGTATACTATAATAGAGAAGACACTAAAACATCCTGAAGTAAGTTGATCACGAAAGCAACAAATGAAGAAGATGGTATTCGTTTGACAACAAATACAAAATGCACTTCTCTTTAGAAGTTGCCATTTTCAATCAAAAAACAGAAATTTTTTTTTCCATGGAAATGTATAGTATGAACTGTGCTCTTTCATGTAGATACAAGATTAGAACAAACAAGAGTCGCTTTGAGCTTTTGCACAAAAGAGCCCTATTTTGTGTTTTCCGTCCTTATAGTAAAGTTTTCGATAAGAAACGATTAAGAAGAAATAAGTTGAGTTCTATAGGTAATCGACCATTATGATTATAATGGACGTGTTCAGAACGTTGTGAGAGCGTATGCGTCATATGTCAAATGAAAAAAACGAACTTTGTACGAGATAACAGATACTTTTTTAAGTTTTCTGTTTCTCCTTACGTCTAATTACAAAAATGAAACAAATTCACAAGCAGACTTACAAAACAGAATCAATCGACACATCAAACTCGCAGAGATACAAAAATTTCAATTTCGAATTCAGTACGCAAACTGAATATTTCGGCTTTGTATAGTAACAGTTTTGTATCTCTGCGAAAACTTGTTCATTGGTCAGGAAAACTTCTTCACATAAGGTAACTTAACAGTCAGGCGCCGTCAGAATGTGTTCGACTGAAAGTTCATATTAGATCTTCAGCATCCGGTTTTCAGAGAGTCATCCAAGAAAGGCCTTAGGATACAAACGAATATCAGATTCCTGATCAGCGTCAAAAATTACGATAGAAAAGTATATTTCAATCAGAAAGCGATTAGACACTTGGGGTACTTCCCTTGTGAGCTGTTTCTAAAACGTTTCAACTGGAATCTCTGGACTTCGTTTTTTTAGACTTTTCCAGAATCCTGATTTTCCGGAGAGCTTATTTTTAGGAACTGAGATAGAATTTGCATCTCCTCTGACAGGAAATTATTTCAACTAACTTCAGATTTGTTCTAGTTATCACAGTTCGAGAAAAAATTAAGAATAAAAAGTTATGAAAAACAGCCGTCAAAATTATTCACCCATCTTGCAAATTTCTTTTATTAAGGTTATTGCTTGTTGAGGAAAGCTGCTAGAAACTTTTTGATCTCATCGCGAGATAGCCCTTAGTTTTTTGTACATTTCCTATAAAATTCAGGTTCTTATGCCTCGG